GGAATGCAAAGTAAAAGGACAGAATGGCTTCCACCAACAAATGAACTATTTTTTTATGGTAAGGTGTATGAGATCTTTATACATTGTGGGAATTAACCCTTATCAGATATATCATTTGCAAATATCTTCTCACATTTAGTAGGTTGCCCTTTAGTTTTATTGGTTTCCTTTGCAATGCAGAAGCTTATTAGCTTAATTCAGTCCCATTTATTGTCTTTCTTTTTGTTGTCTTTGCCCTAGAAGACATATCTAAAAAAAAAAAAAATATTGCTAAGGCCAATGTCAAAGAGTTTATTGCCTATGTTTTCTTCTAGGAGTTCTATGGTTTCGGGACTTATAGTTAACTCTTTAATTCATTTTATTTTTGTATATGATGTAAGAAAGTGGTCTAGTTAATATTGTACACTTGTCTGCCCAATTTCCTCCATCATTTATTAAAGAGACCGTCTTTATCCCATTGTAAATTATTGCCTCCTTTGCTGTATGCTAATTGACCATATACCGTATTTTCCGGTGTATAAGATGACTTTTGAAACGAAAAAAAAGTCAACCGAAAATTGGGGACAAAAGACCAAAACTGCACAAAAATTACCCGCAGATCTTGATGGCAAAGTAAGTCTTTTCTTTGAAGTGGGGCGTAGTCTTCTACAGCGAATATAGGCCTAAACCTATGTTTTAACTGTAAAATTAGGGGGTCGTCTTATACGCCAGAAAATACGGTAAGCATAGACTTATAAAAGAGGTAAAAAAAAAAAAAATGACAAAACAAATGAAGTATCAGGGGAAAAAATGTTATTTAGAATGTGTTCTAAAAGCAACCATCAGCTTAAAGCATCCTGTTCTATATGAAGCACATGGTAACTACAAACCAAAAATCTATGAGATATACAACAAATAGAAAAGAATCAAACAAATACTATGCAAAGTCATAAATACATAAAAGAAGAGAGCAGGAGGGGAAAGGAACAGAAGAACCACAAAAAACAATCAGAAAAATTTAATAAAATGCAATAATTACATTCCTGTCAGTAATTACTTTAAATGTAAATTGACTAAATGCTTTAGTCAAAAGACATTAGGTAGCTGAATAGATAAATAAGACCTACACATATGCTTCTATACTTCAGATCAAAGACACACAGAGATAAACTAAAGAAATGGAAAATGATATTTTATACAAATGGAAATTTTAAGAGCTGGGGTAGCAATATTTATGTCAGATAAAATAGACTCAAAGGCTGTAATAAGGGACAAAGAACATTTTATAATGATAAATGGATCAATCCACGAGAGAACTTAAACATCTACACACCCATGTAGGTGTATCTAAATATATAATGCACATATTGTCTGACATAAAGGGAGAGATCCACAGTAATACAATAAGAGTAGGGGATATTAGCATCTCACATCAATGGGTAGATAACCTAGACAAAAATCCACCTCTTTTATATGTGTTTGTGTGTATCCCTTAATTTATTATTGTATTTATGTTTATTATTCTTACTTTTGCTTTTAATCTTCATACTAGCTTTATAATAGGTTGATCTACTTTTACTAAGTATTTGTCTTTGTGAGATTTTTCCTTTCATGTATTTTCTTTTTAGTTTTGACCTTTTCTATTTAAAGAAGTTCTTTTAATATTTCTTGTAATATTGGTTTAGTAGTGATGAAATCCTTTAGCTTTTGTTTGTCTGGGAAATGTTTTCTCTCTTTCAATTCTAAATTATAACTTTGCTGAGTAATCTTGGTTGTAAATTGTCCCCTCTCACTTTGAATGTTTTATGCTATTTCCTTCAGGCCTGAAAAGTCTATTGAAAAATCTTCTAGTTTTCCTATGGGAACTCTTGGTACTGTTAAAATTCTCTGTCTGTAACCTTTGGCATCTTGTTAATTTTTATTGATTTCAGAGAGGGACAGGGAGAGAGAGAAACATCAGCGATAAGAATCATTGATAAGCTGCCTCCTGCATGTCCCCTACTAAGTACCAAACCTGCAACCCGGGCATGTGCCCTTTGACTGGAGTCGAACTCAGGACCCTTCAGTCTGCAGGCTGACTTTCCATCCACTGAATCAAATCAGCTAGGGCTAACCTTTGGCATTTTAATCATGATTTATCTTCGTGTCAGCCTCTTTGATTTTATCTTGCTTGTGACTTTTTTGTGCTTCTTGGACTTGTGTGTATATTTTTCACCAGATGAATGAAATATTCTATTCTACCATTTCTTCAAGTAGGTTTTCAATCCCCATGTCTCTCCCTTCCCTTCTGGGAACCTTATGATGTTAATGTGCTCTATGCTGTCCCAGAGGTCACTTAAACTATCCTCATTTTCTAAAATTCTTTTAGATCTTCTGATTGGGTGTTTTCTACTACCTTGTCTTTCAGGTAGCTCATTTGATCCTCTGCTTCATCTAATCTGATGTTTATTTGTTCTAGTCTAGTTTTCATTTCACTTATTACTTTCTTCAGCTCTAAATGATACTTTAAAAACATTTTTAAAATCTTTTTGTTGAAATTCTCTTGATCTGGTATATTGCTCATCTCCATTTGATTTAGCACCTTTACTGTTTTCTTCAGTTCTTCCATTTTAAACAAGTTTCTCTGTCTCCTCATTTTGGCTGACACTTTTGTTTTTGTTCTTAATTAATTGGAGTTACATTGATTAATAACTTCATATAGATTTTGGGTGTACAACTTTATGACATCTGTATACTCTATTGTGTGCTCACCACCCCTAAGTTTAGCCTCTTTCATTACCATATATTTGACCCAATTTATTCACTTTGTCATCCTTCCTCCCCCACTTCTGGTAACTACCATTCTGTTATCTATCTATGAGTATGGCTTTTTTATATCCCACAAATGAGTAAATCACGTTTTCTGTCATTTTTATGACTGAGTTTTTCACTTAGCATAATATTCTCAAGATCCATCATTGTCACAAATGGTATGAATGAATACTATTCCCTTGTATAAATGTACCATATCTTCTTTTTTAAAAAAATATATTTTGATTTTTTACAGAAAGGAAGGGAGAGGGATAAAGAGTTAGAAATATCGAAGAGAAATATCGATCAGCTGCCTCCTGCACACCCCCTACTGGGGATGTGCCCGCAACCAAGGTACATGCCCTTGACCGGAATCGAACCCAGGACTTTTCAGTCCGCAGGCCGACGCTCTAGCCATTGAGCTAAATCGGTTTCGGCTGTATCATATCTTCTTTATCTAATTATTCATTGAAGGACACTTAGATTGTTTACCTGTCTTGACTATTGTGAATAATGCTGCAATGAATGTAGGGGTACATATGGTTATAAATATTTTCAAAAATTTCAGGTAGCTTCCAAGAAGAGGGATTGATATGGTAGCTATAAATTTCTTTTCTTTTAGGAACCGTGATACTGTTTTCTATAGTGGCTGTACCAATTTACATTCTCACCAGCAGTATGTAAATTTTCCTTTCTCCATCACTAACAGTTGTTATTTCTAACAGGTATGAGGGGGTTATTTCTAACAGGTATGAGGGGGTATCTCATTGGAGTTTTGACTTTTATAACTATTGATGTTAAGCATCACTAGCGAATATATTTTTAAATTTCTCCTTCTGATTGTTATTAATGCATAGAAACATAAATTTCTGTACATTAATTTTGTGTCCTGCTACTTAATTCATTCTATTTTTCAATGGATTCTTTAGGGTTTTCTATACAGTATCATATCATCTGTAAATAGTTTTATTTCTTTCTTTCCAACTTGGATGCCTTTTATTTCCTTTTCTTGTCAGATTGCTAGGACTTCCCATTGCTAGGACTTCCCATACTATATTGAATAACAGTGTGAGAGTGGACACCCTTGTCTTTTGTTCTGATCCTAGATTTTTCAGTCATTTATGATGTTAGCTGTGGCCTTGTCCTATATAGCCTTTCTATACCCACTTTGACAAAATCCAACATCTATTTATGAAAAATGTCTCAAATTTTCTGCATTTATTGACAATCAGATGACTTATCTTTAAACCTTTCACTCCTGGTATAAACCCCACTTGATCATAATCATGGTGTATAATTTTATTATTATTGATTTCATCAGGGATATTGGTCTGTAATGTTTTGCCTGGTTTTAATAAATGCTGGCTTTGTAGAATGATTTTGGAAGCACAACCATAGTGCCTGCTAGTTCTGAACGTTCTCCAGGCAGGGCAGCCCTGCCTGCAGGTTCTCGAATGCTTGGCTAGATCTGTCCTTCCTCTGTGTTTGGGAGCCTCACATACATGTGTAGACCAGTGGTTGCATGTAGCAGTGCCCAGCAGTATTTTCCAGATTTGCCCTGCACATGGCACCCTTCTATTCCTGCTGGAGCTAGCTCGAAAGGGATGGCTAGGGACTTGCTACAGCAGCCCAGGACTCCCACCCACTGTCCAAGTGCAGGGAAACAAACTGGTGCTCACTGGTTCCTCCAACCTTCTCTGTGGTCTCTCACTTGTTCTGCAGAAGTTGTGCAATTGGCCCTCAGCTGACTCTCGGGAGAAACTGTTCTAAATGGGAGCGGGTGAGCTTAGCCTCTTATGAGGCCATCTTGGACCTGCTTCTGAAACTAGTTACTTTATTGCAGAACTTTTCAGAATCTCTACAATACTAACATGTGTTGTGAAACTCAACGAGGAAAACATATGCTTCATTTTCTATCTGTTCATATGTCACCCACCCCTATTTGTGGCTAAAGAGACAAGTACTTTGAGATAACATTGTAAACGTTTCTAAAGTATAAGATGGACAAAAATTCAACAAGTCACACTGCTGTCATGACCTTGCCAGTTTAATCATTCAGTGTATTTCAACATCAAACTGTAGCTTTAGCTATAAGATTCAGCAATCATCACAAAACTGTCATCACATTCAAAATATCCTTCCATGTGCAGACACATCTACCTGTACATACATATTTCTAAAGCAAGCTAAGCAGAGAAACCTCCATGATGCCCTCTTTTTTCTTTAAACAGCATTTGCCGTCTACCAGTCGCTGCCTTATTTTGAATCATTCGGCACTTACTCCACAAAGCTGCCCTTTGACCTATCCATCTACTTCCCCTATGTGCTGAAAATATATCTCATGATGCTCTTTATAGGTAAGTGGCATTTGTTTTGTGCTGCCATCACCCTCAACAGAAAGGTCTACACACATGGGAAAGAGCTAAGAGGAAGCCTGACACAATGAGTTAGACCTTGTTAGTAAAGCACCTACAAATTATACTAATTTTTTTCAAGATCAAACGAACCAGAACAGTTTTACTAGCAGAAAATGAAACTGCATTAGATATGAAATATAGAAGTCAAAAATAAGCAGTCCTATTTCTGATTTTTTCCATTTATTTAGTTATCTGTTTGATTCTTTCCTAGCAAGTGAGAAAAATGTATATAACAAAAACTTGGTCAATTTCCCAGGAAATGGGGAAAAAGACTTCCATTATTAAATTTTAGCTTCCCCAGCTCTAACCATCACAAATCCCCAAGAACAGTGATTATTGCTACAAGGTAACAACTATCAAGTATATAAGAGCCACACACAAAAGAGAAGACAAATATGAACATTAGGAGAGGTGGAGAGAGCTCCCTTGAAGAAAGGGAAAAGGAATTCTTTCAATAAAAAAATCGGTGAGATGGAAGGGGTTTGCTTTACTTTCCTTCTGAGAATCTCTCCTGACAACGGTCTGAGCCCCGGCCTCCAGGCAGCGCTCTCACTGTATTTTAAAACTATGGTTTGTGCCAAAGAAATGACTAATCAATCTTTCTTACTTTTACCATTTCCTTCTTCACGATAGGTATGTATTTTATCTACAGCCATCTTTACTCAGAAAGAAGAGACTTCCTCAGAGTCTTTCCCATTAAAAAGAAGAACCTGTGAGCAGCATGCTGCTGTGACGTAAGGACAAAGGCCGAGGATTCCACTGCAGACACACCACAGGAAGCGGGGAAGACGGAGTGTGAGACAGAAATCCATCACATGACCTCCTCCCAGCAGCCTGTGGTTCTCTCACAACATATTTTCAAACAGACTCTGAACGACCTGCTTCTCCAAAGCTGTGGATTTATACAAGTTAAGTTTATATTGACTGAAGCCTGATACTTTCCTATAAGGCTAATGAGAAATAGATTCAACTAACTTCTTGAGATGTAGTTTTAACAACTTTGGTTTCTTTTCACTTCTGATTTCCCCAGTAGCAGCAGGTCTGCGGGAGGGAGCACTGTGAGGTATGGTCTGCAGGGTCCCACAGTCATATTTTGTACACGTCACCGTTCCCAGAGGTAACACCCGTCAGAAACACTTAAAGGAAAATAACTCCCCACATTCCTTACATTGAGATAAAAGCTAAGAAAATTAAGAACTAGTCGTTTCAGATCATGTATTGTATTATTGAACTACTATTGTTAATTACTCTAATATTATAAGTCATCACTTACTAGTATAATTTTGAAAATTGATCCTTTCTTTGAAGATTTATAATATATATGAATAACTGATTAATGGAGAATCACTGGTATATTATTCACTTTTCTTGAAATAATTATAGAATCGTATTGTCCAGCAAATATATAAAAAGGGTACTAAATATTTTGTTACATAAAAACCAGGTAGTAAAAATGTAATTAAAAAAATTAATTTTACACCATAAATAAATCAAAGAAACTATAAATTTAATGTCATATTTCGAATTTTAAGTATTAAGATTACCCTTTTTAAAAAACAACATTTTGCTTTTAAAGGTGCTTATTTTACTTCTAAATTAAAAAAAGTAACTGTGAAAATACTCCCTTAGTATGCAACTGGAGGTGACTTAGTCTAGCTCCCTCCCAATAAAAATGGCCACATATATTGCTGAAATATTCATCTAGAATCACTAAAACAAGAACTAGAGAAACTATATTTATTGGGTCACTACAAGAAATAAAAATTTCATTACTAAATAACACATTAATTTTTTTTAAAAAGGTTACCTGAAGAACCTTCCTACTTCTTAAAATATTAGACCAAAAAGAAACAGAAGTAAAATTATGATTGACAATTTGAGATATGTGCAGCAATTGTAACATAAAAAATTCTGTAATTTTCTATGGTGATATTGTCACAAATGTTAGTATTATTGTGGTTGTAATACTGAATTTCACTAGAGATTAGTGGAAGAAGAAAGCATTCTTAAATTCATGTTCCCCAGGTTAAGAAACCAAGAGCATAACCATCTAATTAATTGGCTGTTACCAAGACTGAAAAATTTATTTCTTTGGCTATTTTAACTCTGTGTCCATCAAATCTCTATTGTATTTTGTTCAGTGTGGTGAAAGCGTTTCTCTAATATAAGAACCATGAGATATTTTCAAAGCATAAGATATAACTTCTAAATGAACTTTCTTTGGAGTTTCAAATGCCACGTAAATTACCCAAAGTTCTAATAACTTAAGCAAAGAAACAGTAACCACAACAACAGTGTCTCTGGTGCCAAAAAACCAACAACACACACCCTTGCACATAATATCAGAGTCCTGAGCTTTTCCTTTATCAAAGTAGTTGTATACAGAGCAAGAACAAACACTTCTTCCCAATATCTTCGTTCAGTTTTATTTTACTGTAATATGCTTGTCAAAAAGCACTTCTATTCTGGTCTTAGCTTTTGATTCAATAAACAGGTCACCTTAGTAGAGTGAGTTGGCTGTGTACACATGCCTATGTACACTCAAGAAACACTTATAATGTGCCAACAATGTACCAGTCACAGGTCAACACGATAAAAATCTTTACCAAGTTTGTATGAAAGAAAGAAGGTACCATAGCTCACTAAAGTCCCTAAGAGAGTTGGTAATTTCTTTTTTACTATATCAGACTCTGCCTCTGAAGAGCAAATTGTCACACAAAAGAATCTGTTTCTTCCAAAAGTTTCTGAAGTAGCTAGAACATCCAGTTTAAATGTTTCTCTGAAAAACATGTACATTTAAAATTTACGCGCAAAGACCACAGTTACATTTTGTTTCATTGTGCTGAAGTATTGAAGTGATTTAAATAAAAATGACCTTTCCTTTCCCATTTTCCTCTCATTTATTTTTGCTTTGAAACATTATTTTGGTTTTCCGTCACTTTACTTTCTTCTTCTGGACCTGAGGGATATGCTAATTTTGACTTGGCACTTTTCTCTAGGTCATTTATTCGAAGTAATTCAGGGAGCAATGGTCACAGTTAACCAGAGGGCCTATTTGGAATGCAGATTCCTGGGCTCCCACTAAAGATCTGCAAAATCAGAGCGGTTGGGAATGGCCCAGGAACATGCATTTTGACAGGCCCCATCACACGCTGCTGTTTGAGAACCACTGCTTTTGAGTCTAATGTATTTCAGCTTTGGACAGAAAACTGCTAATAAATATTTAAAGTCAACATACAATGTTCTGTTTTTAAAACAGATGATGACATTCATTTTTGTTAATCCCCACCTGAGGATATTTTTTTCAGAGTGGAAGGAAGGTGAGGAGGAGGGGGAGAGACAGACTGGTTGCCTCCTACACACTCCTTGGCCAGGGGCAGGGAGCAAACGGCAAACCAGGTATGTGCCCTTGACCAGGAACTGAACGAGACCCTTCACTGTACTCCAGCCACTTAGCAACGCCACTCGGGCTAACATTCATTTTTGTTCTTATGCTTATCTACTTTTTAAACATATTAAATAAGAATTATTAAAAGGGTAGCTGGCATTTTATTTTTTTTGTTTTTATTTTTAATATATTTTATTGATTTTTTACAGAGAGGAAGAGAGAGGGATAGAGAGCTAAAAACATCGACCAGCCGCCTCCTGCATACCCTCTACTGGGGATGTGCCCGCAACCAATGTACATGCCCTTGACCGGAATCGAACCCGGGACCCTTCAGTCTGCAGGCCGATACTCCACCACTGAGCCAAACTGGTTTTGGCAATTAGCTGGCATTTTAAATATAACAAGGTTAGTCAATTCTATATGAAAATCAATTCATAAAAAATATCCCTTAATTCCTGAGATACACACAGGTGCCCATTGTGTACTCACATTGTGGTATTCAGCTGGCCTGTGGGGTCCTGGGAGGGAGATGCAGTCTGGAGGTAGGACTGGCCTGGATTTGAAATCCTGCTCCAACATTTAGTACCTTCAGGCCTGCACTGAAGCATCACAGCTGCTATTTGTTTTCAGTGAAACATGTAAAAGGGGCAGCATTTCCACTGCAGTTTACAATTTATAAAACACATTTTTGTATTCTTTCTTTTAATCCCCTACCAATGCTTTGTGAAGTTGGTTTTATTTCCTGGATTTAAAGGAATAACCTAAGTCAGGGAGCCATCACTGCCATTTTCGTTCAGTTTCATATTCATTCATTTAGCTGGATGTCCCTTCACCAGTTCCCTCAGTTTGACAAGTTCTGAATGACCCTTCTAAACTGCAGTTAAAAAGTGCTGTTTGTGAAGATTAATCCATTACATGCCAACTTAAGCACTTAACGATACGTCACACATTTAAAAAGAACTTCCAGATTCGGAATAAAGTATTTCCTTTCAGGAAATATAAGAGCATATTACCTTGTCTTAGGCCAGGGCAACGACGATACATTTACACGTGAAGGTGATGCTGTGGGGGTTTCCACATGGGAGACGAGGGATGTGAACCGTCCCATCTGCGTTCAGTCACGTGGTTCCAGGTGGAAGGCCTGCAGCTAAGAATTGGCTGGTTTCGCCATGCTGGTGGGGCTCAGTGACTGGGCGTCGAGCTATGAACCAGGAGGTCACTGATTTGATTCCCTGGTTCAATACCCGGTCAGGGCACATGCTTGGGTTATGGGCTCGATCCCAAGTAGGGGGCATGTAGGAGGCAGCCAATGAATGATTCTCATAATTGATGTTTTTCTCTCTCCCTTTCCTTTCCTCTCTGGATTCAATATTTATAAACACACATATACACATACACACACATACATGCATGTGTGTGTTGTGTGTAAAAAGAATAGGCTGGTTTGTGTCAGAGATACAAATTGATCAGAGATGAGGCCTACAACTCGAGTTTTAAAGAAGGCCTGTCATCTTAACCAAATGTTCTGATTTCTTTTCTAAAACAGCAATTTACCAAAAACCTAAAACTACTGCTTACTTGCAAAGCAACTAAGTTATTTCAAGATACTTGTTGAGCCCTTAACAAAGTCTTATTCTTCATACAATCACAGTATCAAATTAACCTGAGAAAAGTTAACCCTGGCAATTAACTTAAAAAAAAAAAAAAAAAAAGGTCACAGCCTATTAGTTACCATGGAACCATTACATTACAAATAAACACAAAGAGTTCAGGCACGTACATGAATCCCGACATCTGCTCCTAGCAAGAACAAGAACCAGAACAAGAACCAGGGTGGTGGGTATTTCTGAGACACCTGGCTTTAACCCCACACATTAATTTGTTAATCCATCCCAGCACACTATTTGTCTTGGCAATTTATTATTTCAAAAACTAACAGAAGATGGCCTGCAAAGAAACTTTTCCTTTTGAATATAGTTTGTACAACTTCTGGTCTAAAAAAGCAGACTTGTGGTTTCTAGAGAACCAAGTGAAATTTCCTAAGAGGATAATTTAATTCTTACCTGAGGTCCTGCCTGCGGGGAACCCAGTCACCTATTCCGGTGACCTATGTGTTAGAAGGCTGAGATTTTAGAACTTTCAAGATTTTCAAACTAACAGTCTTCCATTTTGGATTCTTTAGAGGTCCCCATGCGTAGGAAAACCCCATACATTTTATGCTCCAGGCTGCTGGAGACAAAATAGGGAGCCAGGGAAGAGAGGACTAAGGTCTATCTTCCTCCGCCCTTCGCGTTCGTCTGTTTTCTGGTCAAAGCCAGGAGCAGGGACAGCGTTTGAATGGGAGGAGACGGGGCTGTAGCAAAAACAAAGTCGGGGATAGAAGTCTGGGCTGGCTCTTCACCCTTTTCCTGGGCAGCAGTGCGCGCTCTCTCGGGGAAATGCAGAGCGTGACACCGAGACAGCTGTGTGTGAAACCTGCGCTCTGCTCTTTACCGCCACCCAGGGGAGCAGCCTGCTCCGGGGACCTCAGGCCCTTCCAGCCACGAAGGATCTGTCCCTTTGCGCTGAAGCTCCTAAACTTCCCAACCCCAGAGACGTCCTCACAGAGGCAGGATTGCTGCTCTGATCTGATCCCAGAAATCTGTGGTAATCATAGGAAGCCATAGGTTTACTAACGCACATTAACCCATAAGCACATGAATACAACGTGCAATCCTTGGTGGGAATTTTCATCTTCAAGTGAGTGCTGACGAGCCTGAGGCAGTGAAAAGAGCACTGGACCTGGGGCTCTAGGAGCTTGGTCATAGGCATAGCTCTGCCCTGACTGGAGGTGCCTTCTCCATTTAAAAATGGGAAATAAGCCGAAACCGGTTTGGCTCAATGGATAGAGCGTCGGCTTGGGGACTGAAGGGACCCGGGTTCGATTCCGGTCAAGGGCATGTACCTTGGTTGTGGGCATATCCCCAGTAGGGGGCGTGCAAGAGACAGCTGATTGATGATTCTCCCTCATCGATGTTTCTAGCTCTTTATCTCTCTCCCTTCCTCTCTGTACAAAATCAATAAAATATATATTTAAAAAAAAATGGAAAATAAGGCCTAGTCACAGTAAGAGTTAAATGAGATCATCCAGGTGAAAGCTCTAGCGCACTAACAGTCTGGCATCTAACAATAAATATTAAGATAAATTTCCTCCAGTGAGCGGTTGACATTTAAGAAAATGTATGTGGGTGGGAAAAAGAGGGAGGCTGGCTTCTAACATAGATATTCTACCTCTCTTCCTTCTTCAAATCCATTTCCCGCTAGCCCTGCCTCTAAAGATTATCTATGAAATACGGGCAACGCAGGTCCATACTACCCAAGAGCTGGCCTTCCCTTCCCTTACCCTTCCCTTTTCCTCTGTAGGCGTCTCGGCACCCTGTGGAGTTCAGCCAAAGAAAGAACTGTGACCTGGTGACAGAGTGTAAGTCACACAGGGAACACAAACCCAGCTATCTGAAAAACAAAACCAGCAGATC